AAGTGAGTCAGTCCATAAACTCGTTTACATTGAAACACATCATTACTGCAAAATGAAGTAAATACTTTAATTTAATCATCGTCCTTGTGTCTCTGTAATGTTGCCGTAGCAGAAATGAAACAGGGTGAATGATGTTTGACATAAAGATGCTGACCCAAAAAGCCTGCAAGTCCAGACCCAACAAACAAAGAGCGACAGACCAGAGTGATACTTAAATACACGTTTTCTAACACTATCTAGAACAGGGTTTTGTCACACAGGTAAATCATATATATACTAATATTTGTATTTATGATATTTGCATCTTTGTAAAACCGTCGGTCAAAAACTCGACTCATCATGCAGCATCCTATGGCAGAAATGCAGAAATTCAGGACAGTACATTTACCTGACAGAACCAGTACAGAAAGAGTAAATTGCCTCACTGGAGTTCAAAATAAACTCGGAAATAAACCGTGCATCACAGATTAATGGTGCGATAGCATCTGAGGAGGGTTTGCAAGCATTCATCAGTCAGAGTAAAGAAAACTCTGAATGTGAAAGTAAGAAATGAGGCAACATGTCATGTTTATTCCACAGAGAGCTCAGAAAACAATAGGAACATCTGCCCCTTACAGCACAACACGTTGACTGAGGTGACATTTCTGATATCTTAATGGATTTCACTAATTAATCCCACCGTAATCACAGTAATGGGGGCGACGAGGCTTCACTGCACGCAGCTCAAGAAGAAAACCACCAACATCGCCATATTTACGCACCAAATAGACACACTTGTCACAGCTGGAGACTTCCTTAGTGTGTGAAAAATAACTTTTCTCTCCAGTGTGAGCACAACAGCGTGGAAGATGTTTGCTCACACACAAGGAAACGTGGGAAATGAGGCTCTAATCGTTTGGTGATGAGCGTGACGGAGCGCCACAGATGTCCCCTGTGATCGAGGCTCATTTCCACAGCAGATTTGAAATGTGTGGGGGCTGATTGACCTTTTCTTGGGTGTTAATAGAATATATTTTTGCATCTTTGCACTCATATTTTGTGTGCAGTGGAGGTATTAAGCACACTGTAATTCCTGACCTCAGCAGCGAGCTTTTTAATGATAGCTTTAAGTATAAATGGATACCGGACTCATTCATTGACCCATTGTACTCTCACGTTAATTACTAGTATCAGTCATGAAAAAATGTGGAAGGTTAAATACAAGTTTAATCTCCACAGACCCGCGAGTTCAACCTGCTCAAACTAAACATTATATCTTAAGTGGTGACTCATAAGCTATCCCTTACCTCCCTACGCAGAAATATGCCAAAGTGAACCTTATTAGATTGCTTTTATCCATTTTGCACCATTTTTGAGTTGGCAACAAACATGTTGGTGTTTTACATGAAAATGGGTCATTTAATGTGGATCTTGTGTTTTCCTGCATGCCCAGATCCACCTGACACTAAGTCGAAACACCATCAGCCAGATCAGGCCGTACACCTTTGC